ACATCAACAAATACCTAACGGGCGATCAAAAATGAGTTGCTGTCGAGTCGCCTTTGGAAGCTCAAGTTAAGTACGATTTTCCATGTAAACAAAAATTCCAGACAGAAACACATTTTTGATCGCATAGTATAAGCATTAACACTGAGTGCCTATATTATTATCCTCAGGTTCATTTCAACTCTTTTTGCTCGCATGCGAAAAACGAAAATAAATGGATCATTCCTCGAAATAAAGTTGTTTCTAAACGTTTCAGATGTGGATTAATTACGCGTTAAATTTGAAAGGGTGCGTGCAAAAGGAAAGCTGTTACGAAAGTTTATGAGCTGCTCATGATACCCCCATTACTCTCATGTATACGAATAATAAATAAAAGATGTCTAATCAAATAATTGTAAGGGCGGATGCAATTTTAACCTAATAATGGTCCCTTGAAATATTCTTCGGATCTGTAATTATTCGGACGGGTAGGTATATCCACAACTTTAATGTTCTCCCCAAAGAAACGCCCTTCAACCCTATCGCATTAAACGTCTGTTCAATAAAGTTTTGTTCTATGAAATTCAAATGCAAATGAACTTTTAGCAATAAAAACAAGTTTAGAATTGAAGCAGTAAATTGTCGTCACTGTCTTAAATTTGCGACACACTGCTTTTGACAGTTTCACAGTGTTTATTGGTGGACATACCTTTTCGTTTAGCCAAAACGGATTACCTACGCTGCTATTATCGTGGGTTCAGTTATTACGTACCTAAACCTCTTTTCAGAACAATTTGTTTTCGACGTTTCTAAAGCGCATATTCGGAGTTTTAAATTAGATTAGAAGGGAAACGTATTTCATTTTTTTTTGTTGGTTAAAACGAGGAGAACACCATAGTAATAGCTGAGCGATTTGTTAAAGAAGATGTCACAGTCTTGACAAAAACTTGGCCGTTATTCGTTCCTGCTGAGCATCCCAAATGTCTGATCTGTGCTGATATTTAGTTTTTATAAATACTTAGGATGCATCAATGCGACAAAGCTCACGCAAACCATCACGTGAAACATAATTATATTTTAATAATGTACAATACATTAATATTATAAATTATAATATCCCAGCCCTATCTCAAAGCTATACCGATAGGCTAACAAAAGGTCGTTGGTTATTACTGCTTCTGATTTCGTAAAGACGGGAATTGGTTTATCGATGCATATCCCTTTCAGCGCTAGTGTGGATACGATCAACCTGAAGAACATGACTGATGAACTGCACCTCACGCTTAATCAAGATATTTTTCTCAAAATTAATCGACCCCTTGTGAATCCCTTTGTATATAATACGAGAAAATGCGATTGTACAAAATATACGTATTCTTATGCCATCTCATTAGTAAATACATAATTTTATCAAGTAGAATTCGGATCATTTATATTGATATTTTTAGAACAAGTAATCAAACCAATATTCCAGTAAGTATATGGTAAATTAAAAACGTATTAGTGAAGTGAATCTACCATGGTAAATCAAATTGGTGTTATACGTTTATCAAATTATTGGTAAAAAAACATTTATTTATATACATATTTTAAACGCAGGGTATAAAATTGGTCTACAAAAAAACGTATACCATACATGCTACCAATACCGAATTTATCCTTTCAAAACGCATTAAAACCGTTTATTAAACGTAAGTGTGTTGGCTGGGGGTTCTAATTTTGACATAAAGTTGCCTTTAATTAAAGGAAACTGTTGCGTGATTATAAATTTATTATTTATGTTGAGTTTAAAATAACATAAATAAATTAATCGATTGAATCAAAAGCACAAATTCTAGGAAATCATTCAAAAGTCGAGAACGTAAGCTCGATCACGTGACCGAAACTCGTGAACATCTCGCTGCGTGATTAAATTACAAGGTCATAAGTATTTGCAACGTCATTTGACTTTGCAAGATTAACTTGTTTTTCGAATGCATTTACAAAATGACGTTCCTAATTATTGCACTGTAAAGGAAAGAAAATTTCTTGTTAGTATTCGGCTGTCTAAATACGCGTTAACATTAACGTATTACCCAAGCGTCTATAGCATTATATTGACATTATTATCTGTGCATCCCTTTCGTTTGTGGCAAATTTTAAAAAATAATGGTTTTTTAAACAACAACTAGGAAAACGTTATACAGGGTAGCCATTTGAACTTCAAAACATTTACGAAAAAAATCCTCGGACCCGTCAATTTTTGATCCAAGTAGGAACCATTTTTTTGCTAGTCTCGCCCCCCTGGGGGCAAAGCCATAGCGGGGGTGACAAGTGCCCCCAAAATTTTAAATCGAATGGGGGGTCGAGTGATACCTTATTTTAAAGGTATTTTTATGTAGATTATAACTCTTAAGATTTAAATCAATTTTATTTTAAGTGCTTAAAGCTAAACTCAATCAAGTAAATGTTGAAAATGTTGACCTTCGACTTCCATACAATAATACAGGTTTTGTTCAAACCTTTCCCGTACTTTTTGCAAAACTCCTGGAGTGATTTGACGACATTCATCAATTATTCTTTGTCGCAAGTTGTCTAACGATGTTGGCTGACTAGCATACATTTTAGTTTTTAAATGCCCCCATAAAAAAATCTAACGAACTTAAGTCCGGGGAACGA